TAATCCTGCCCGCGTCCCCAAAGTAAAAAGAGAAAGAAACGACAAGACATGACGCATCGTCGCGTTGGCGCCCTGAAAAAGAAGTTCGCCACTCGTCGCGTCATCGGCATTTCGTGTGAAGTTCACAGAATCGAACTGTGGCAGCCACGAAGGCAGCGTTTGCTGCTCCAGCGCACCGTCCACGACGTCGGGTATGACGGCAATGATAGCCGGAGGCATGCGCACAACAACATTCACAAAAAAAAAGCCGTCGGGAAGAGCGGTGACACCATCACGCTCAGCGGCAGGTTTACTCAACGGAGCCACATCAAGGATAAACTCTTTGCTACCGGATGTAGCATGCAGGGGTGCAAATCCATCGTAGCTGACCGCCTCCTGCGGGGCTACAGTCCCTTTTATACTGTCACCCTTATTCTCGTCGTCACATTGGTCGTCCTCGTCCTCATTTTCACTATGCCTCCGGCCATTTTGGCCACGTAACAATCGCGCAGCCTTCTCTCCCTCCTCTTCTTCTTCTTCCGCATTATCGTCGTCCTCATCTTCATTGTCATCCTCGGATGCGTCTGGCACATCGTTGACACTGCGTTGGCTGCGGAGGGCGGGTGACACACCACCAACGGTTGCACTGTTACTGTCCTCGCTGCCGCCATCACTGAGAGCATCGTCCTTGTCGACACCAGAGCCGCGGTCGCTGTCGTCGTAATCATCGCCATCCGCAGCAGCAGCAGCAGTAGTATTAGTAGCGTCCATTAGGTCATGCTGATTAAGGATCAACGCTGCGGCATCACCTACATTTCTTTCTTCCCGCGTGCGACCACGTAGCGCTTTAATAATGCGCTTTCCAAATTGCCGCAATGCATCCGTAAAGCATTCAAGGTGTTCACTCGGCGACATGCACATACGCGCCCGGCTATCATCCAGGTACGACTGTGAAAAGAGCAAAGCAATTGTCAACACAGACGCATCCTTACGTCGTGCCACGTGGTAATGATATCCTTTTCCACTTGTCCCGCCCCGCGCAAGACAATCCCGCAGCCGTATCGCCACACCCGCATGTAGTATGCGTGCAATGGCTGATTCATCCACCGGCGTCGCCTTCTCCACGGGCACAATAACTGCAGCTTTCTGAACAGAGGCGTGAATAAGCAGCTCACGGAGACGTGGGATACCTTCCGTCACGTGGGTCACCGTGGAACCGGCACTGTGGAATGTGTTAAGTGTCATTTGCGTAGACGGCTCTCCGGCGGCCTGTGCCGCAAGAAGACCAACAGGTTCCCCGGGGTCACAGAAAGCCTTTACACGTCGGCTTGTGG